ATAATTATAACATTTGTTCTAATATTTGTGATAATCATCTTGTTTTGCTAGATCATAAAGATTTTACTTGTGTATTTTTATAAAACAAATCTTTTTTTTATTTATATGATATATCTAACAATTTTATGAAAATAAATCCACATTATGTATATCATCACACATCATATTCAATGCATTGATATTCAATCAATCAACAATAATTGAACATGTTTTGCCGCAAAAAAGCATACTCAAGTTAGATGAATATCTGCGTTAAATATAACAAAGAAATCAAAGATGACCAAATTCTTTCGCAACAATAATGCTTTGCATATTACTTGTATTGACAAAACAAAGTGGTTTGTTTTAATCAATGTCATGACTTTAGGTTAATTGTTGGGCTCTTGAAAACTTGAAACTTCTCCAATCTTCTTGAACCAAGAAGAACATTAGATAATATTTTTAGACTAGTGGTAGTCAAAAATTTTGAGGAAAAAGTTTCTTCACTAGAAATGACACTAGCCTCATGAGATTTGAATCTTCATAAGCTAATTAATGCAGGAAATTACTTGATATAAACTGAGGAAAACGCAACAAACTTGATGGTGTCCAATAGATTTTATTTTACCAATAGTACCATCTCGACGGTCTTGTAGTCTAGTGTTAGCAATGTTCCAACACGATCTAGAAATAATTCTGGTAGAAAATCTTGGCATTTTTTTGGATGCAATTATGGCAAGTATCTATCGGTAGTACTTCAAGATCATGATGCCCGTCTGCACTCATCTTTAGTTAATTAAAACTAAAATAGAGGTTACTCTAAATGTTGATATAGATACTTTAGTGTGCACTAGTCATAGCTGCCACGTCAACTATCCGCGCACTTGGTAGTTAGACAATATATGTGTTAGTTGACAACGCCATGTCAGCCATCCGTGTGCTTGTTAGGTAAGGATTGAGTGTGTTAGTTGGAAGCGTCATGTCAGCAGTCCTTGTGCTTGTTAGGTAAGGATTGAGTGTGTTAGTTGGAAGCGCCATGTCAGCAGTCCTTGTGCTTGTTAGGTAAGGATTGAGTGTGTTAGTTGGAAGCGCCATGTCAGCAGTCCGTGTGCTTGTTAGGTAAGGATTGAGTGTGTTAGTTGGAAGCGCCATGTCAGCAGTCCGTGTGCTTGTTAGTTAAGGATTGAGTGTGTTAGTTGGAAGCGCCATGTCAGCAGTCCGTGTGCTTGTTAGTTAAGGATTGAGTGTGTTAGTTGGAAGCGCCATGTCAGCAGTCCGTGTGCTTGTTAAGGTTATCCGCCACGTCATCCATCCACTAGGAGTGGGATGGATGGTGGCACTAAGATTTCATCTCCTTGTACTTGTTGGGAAGAGCTATATAAAGGAGTGTAGAACCATAGTTAGTATTTCTCACCTTCAGAGTTTATGTTTTCATCTTCAAGTGAACTGCTCTCTAAACCCTAGTGTTACACCGTCACTTGTTGAGACTCGCTGCAAAATTATTCTCATCAAACGAGTCGTCAAATTATTCTTACAGAAAAAGGTATTTTGGTTCGATAGGGATAGATAATCTCCACACTATAGCACAAATTATCGGATTAGAAGAACTTTTATTGGACATGACAGACGGTGATCTGCGTGGCCGTCGAATGGGATATCATTTAAAAAAATGAAACATGTTCGTTTACATTAAGTAAATGAGTTTTCTAGATATCCCATCAAGTAATTATCTTCCAATTGATGACTCACATGACATACAAAATTTTTCGCCAAAAAATGAAGTTTAATAAGATATAAAAATATTGAAATTTTTTGTCTCACATTCTCATTTTCTCTTGCTACAAACTTCTCTTATTTTCATTGCAAAATCTTGTTGTGTTTTCGCAACTTTGCTTGGCATCTTTTTTGTTATCTTCCACTTTGTTTTCATCTTCATTTGCATTTGCTTTACTTATCTAATTAAGGATATACATTTCAATTACTCAATTCTTATATGTATCTTGCATGTAAATAAACTTCAAACTCCACACTACATTGATGCTATCTACTACATGATCAAAGAACCAAGACTTGCAATTGCAAACAAGACATTCAACAAATCAACACAAACTCTACCACTCCAAAATGACATATTTACTTTTCTATTATTCCTTTGGAAATTTGATGAATTAATCAATATAAAACATGCAACGCCTAAGTTCTCTTATACATTTACATGCTAACTAGTCTAACCAACTAAACTATCACTAACTAGCATCAAGAAGACTTGATGTAATAACTAAAAATATAACTTTTACAAAAATCATGTATCTAACTATATTAAATAAAAAATAATTCTATGTATCTAGTAATTTACATCAATATATAAATTAAAAATATTAAAATTATTAAAAATAATAAAATAATATTTTTTAGTATAATAATTTAAGATTTCTTTAATTAATCTAAACATCAATTAAAAAAAATTCAATATGGTTATAAATTCATCATTATATTCAAGAAAAACAAAAAAATATAATCTTAGTTTATCGATTCAAATAATTTTATTGATTTTACTTTTTCATATTTAAATTCTAGAATATAGAATACAAATTTTGTATGATATTTCATGAAATAATTTCAAAATAAATAAATAACTTGAAATTTTTAAATAAATTTATCATCATCTTAAATCTATTTTTTTAATAATGGTATTAACATGAATTCAGATATATTTTAAATATATAATAGAAGTTGATCATTTTTTATTTACTTGATTTTCAAAATTAGATTATAAAATACAATAATTACCCATAAAAAATTTTTGAGATGAAATTCTATTAAATATTTATTCTATATAAAAAAAATTATTTGAGGTTTACATGATTACAGGTTACAAGAATTTTACAAGTCCAAACCTTCTTAATAATTTAATTATGATAATAATCTAAAAGAAGATGGAAAAAACTGAAATAATTATTAGACTCATACATGAGGAGAAAATTATCAATTTTTGAAAAAAACTGGCAAAAATACATCAACTTGCACTTGGAATAAATCCAAAATTTATCATGACACTAGATTGCCATAGCATGAAAAAAAAAGGTATAGTCTTTAATGTCTTCAATTGATCTATCTGACTTATTTGAACATCCAAAACATCATAATACATGAGTTTTTTCTTATGCATAGGCCTATTTAGTTCTGCTTGGAGCAGAAATAAATTTAAGAATGTGCAAAACAAGTGTAATCAATATTGCATAATTTGATAATCTCCTATACAATCTTTCAAAAACAGGTCAAATTCTAAATTTATACTTTCGTATAAGTTCTATGATAATAAAAAAAATAATTTATTCTTTAATTATACTTAATTCTTCTTCATCATTATCATTTTGCTTTTTGCTATCCAGAAGTATGGAAGTTTTTATCCCCTCCAAAACATGTTCACATGTAGAACAATATATTGTTGTGTATAACAGAAATCAAGTGCAAGACATGCTACCATGATCTCCATACATATATATCCATCTTCTTTTTCAACAAGTCACATGAATTTTTCTTGCATGTAATCTATGATGACACTCAAAGCTGAGTGTCAGCATGTGTTTAAGTTAAAATTGTAACTGGAAATAGATATAACAAAACCGAGAATATAAATTCATTAGAGTGTAGATTGATGATTGATATATACTTGTAATAAGCATCTCTTGCAAGTGATGATGAAACGCATAAATAAATCAAATCACAACTCGTGAAGATATTCAATGATCTTATATACTTCCCTTGCATATATTTATTTATCAAGGATAAGAATATCTACAATCACACATTGGTCCAATAAACAAAATGCGGAGATTGACAATCTAGAAAAATCGAGATGAAAGTTATTTTTTTCCTTTGTATGTATTGTCATCAAAAAATATTAAAGGCGATGTGAATGAAGATGGGAATTACTTGGTAGCTAGACTATGAAAAGTAATATCATGCCGAGAAGGATGGAAGTAGGACTGGCTTGCATGAAAAGATCAAAGGCATTCTATTCGAGTATCATACGATATCAAATACGGGGTACGAGAAGGATGGAAGTAGGACTGGCTTGTATGAAAAGATCAAAGAGATTCTATTCGAGTATCATACGATATCAAATACGGGTACGAGAAGGATGGAAGTAGGTCTGGCTTGTATGAAAAGATCAAAGAGATTCTACTTGAGTATCATACGATATCAAAAACGGGGTACGAGAAGGATGGAAATAGGCCTGGCTTGTATGAAAAGATGAAAGGGATTCTACTCGAGTATCATACGATATCAAATACGGGGTACGAGAAGGATGGAAATAGGCCTGGCTTGTATGAAAAGATCAAAGGGATTCTACTCGAGAATCATACGATATCAAATACGGGGTACGAAAAGGATGGAAGTAGGCCTGGCTTGTATGAAAAGATCAAAGGGATTCTATTCGAGTATCATACGATATCAAATACGGGGTACGAGAAGGATGGAAATAGGCCTGGCTTGTATGAAAATATCAAAGGGATTCTACTCGAGAATCATACGATATCAAATACGGGGTACGAAAAGGATGGAAGTAGGCCTGGCTTGTATGAAAAGATCAAAGGGATTCTATTCGAGTATCATACGATATCAAATACGGGGTACGAGAAGGATGGAAATAGGCCTGGCTTGTATGAAAATATCAAAGGGATTCTACTCGAGTATCATACGATATCAAATACGGGGTACGAGACTACGACTACGATGCTGACGATAACGGGGCTGCAGGATAAGCCAATGGAGACGCCCGACGATCAAAGAGGCCCGCGCCGGACGAGCGAAAGCGCCACCGACGACGCCGTCAGCACGCTGCCCCCGCGCGCGCACGTGCGCGACTAGCTCCGCTACCCTGCTTCGCTGCTCGCAACCTCACCCTGTTCCCCCCTCCGTCGTAGGTCCACCGAGATCGCCAGCCCGGCCAATCGGCTCCAGCGGATCTCGTCCCCCCTCCCGCAGGAACGAGCTCATCTTTCGAGTGTTCCGACGACCGCCCTCTCTGTACAATTTGGGGAGTGAGGGTCTGAACGCATTCCGGAAGAGCCTGAATTACTCGTTCAGGAATTCGGGCTGTTGTGGGTTTTGGGATTTAATTTGGAGCTCGGCAGCAATGGAGGGTTTGGTGTATCGCCAGCTTTGTCCTCCTTCTGCTGCTGCGGCTGCCACATGCTGCTGCTGCTCGACCACAACGACGACGCAGCTGGGATTCGCCCATGGATTGTCCGCACGGTCGCTGTACAGGAAGTTGCAGAGGAAGAGCGAGCGGCCGGGTGGAGCGAAGGCGGCGAGTTTGATCGTGAGGGGTGAGGCGCAGACGCAGAGGCAGCAGCTGGAGAATTTGTCCGGCGTTGTGACGGATGATGCGGTTCCCGAAGGGCACAAGGGCCTTCATGGGTTTCTGTATGGCGAAGGAGGAGCGGACATTCACACGTCCGGGATCAAGGAATTCGCAGGTCGACAGGGCGAAGACGACGGCACCACCATTCTTGGATTCGAGGAGTACGTCGCAGCCAGGGAGGCTGTCAAGTTTTCTGGGGTCTACGGAGTTCACAACAGCAATGGCGGGCTCGAGTTCGTAGGGTATTCCAGGAATGTGGTTTTGTCTCTGAAGACTCACAGAGCCAGGGTGGGAGCAGAGAAGTGCGCGTCCGTGAGGGTCAAGTTGTTCTCGGTGGCATCGATTGTTTCGAGAGCGAAGTTGGAGGAGGAGAGGAAAATGTGGTTGATGTTTGCTGCCGAAATTCCGCCGGGAAATTCGCATGAGAATCACTTGTGGGAGGGGAGCAGCGCGGCTGCGCCATTGCAGCACATGACGGAGGAAGAGAGGAAAGAATACGAGGAGAAGAAATTGAAGATGAGGAAGGCAATGGGTGAGAATCTGTACGATGATGTGGACGGAGAGGATGATGATGCTAAGACTATAAGAATGAAGCTTCTTCAAGCCACAGAAGGTGATGATTGGAGCAGTGTGATCGATGGTCAGACCAAACAGACCATCAAGCCCCCTCCAATTGCATTCGATGAGGTCGTGGATGAAGCACCTGCTGCCCAGATTGTAAGCCCTTTCTCCACATCTTCGAAAGGAAGTCTCTACTCCGCTGACAGCTACGAGTTGACGGTGGAGAATGTGGATATCGTGTTGAACGAAGTGCGCCCTTACCTCATCGCCGACGGTGGCAATGTCGAGGTCGTGTCATTGACAGATGGTGTGGTGTCATTGCGTCTGCAAGGTCATTTCTTTCACCTTGGACTTGGACGAGTGTCTTGAGTTATTTGATTTATCTCTCTCCATTACTAGTTTCATTAACTATACTAATCGAAGTATCAAAAAATGGTGAATTGGTTTACACAGTTCATGAGGGTGGGACTTAAATTTCTGTATATGTCGTGATACTCGCAGGAGCATGTGGTACTTGTCCAAGCTCAACGACCACAATGAAGATGGGAATTGAAAGAGTTCTCAATGAAAAGTTTGGGGAGAGTTTGAAAGGAGTCGTGCAAGTGGATCAACAGGAAATCGGAGCCACACTTGGGGTGAGATAATATATTTGTCATTTTCCTCCTGCGTTGTACACATCGGCCGTGGGTCATTGAAGAAAATCAGTGTTTAGGGTGTATGGACTGTGATATATAGTTCGAGGTGATTTTAATCACCTCAAGCTATCTAACAAGCATGTCTTTTTGTTTATTGATAACTCCATCCTCTACACGGCACTTGCTCTAAATGTTGGAACTGTCAGTAGATAGCATCAGGTTTTCGTCATTGAGTGTGATTGTTTTTTATTACTAATATAAGATACTTCTGTTGATGAACCAACTGGAATCTGTCAATAACTTGATGTTGAACAAAAGTCTGTGGATATTAGGTGCTTCTTTCAGATAATGTCAGAATATTCTGACATTGTCGTTGTTGTGGCAAATGCAGGGTGTGAATTCTCACCTCGATATGCTCAGACCTGCAATCATCAATTACGGAGGCTCTGTCGAAGTTGTGTCTGTGAGCCCTTGCCGAGGTGAAGTAGTTGTTAAATACAAGGGCCCTGCACCTATCGGTATGGGAATCCAGGCGGCTATCAAAGACAAATTTCCGGACATCAAGACGGTTACTCTCATCGAACCATGAGCCTCCATTGGGGTATATGGGATTCGACATTGTACTATGCTGTAAGCTCAAAGTCTTCTTGGATCCACATTTCTCTTACATTTTTTTTGAAAGAAGTTCTACCTGAAATTGCGGAGTCGACTTGAGGTACTAGTCTACACTAAATTCTCTGGGCAAGGATTGCTCTTTAGGTGGTTCTTATGCTCTGAGGTTACTGTCGATGTCACTACTTCCACATCAAGATCCAGGATTGGAAGTTTCCATCAGCAGTTGTATCATTCTGAAAATTGTACTCTAATAGTGAAATCGAAGGATTCCACGATATCCTCTACAGCTGGCTTTTATGCCACTTTTTGTTTTCTTCAAAGTCAATCAAAGGTTATTGTTTGCTGACTCTCATTAGGTGCGGTTGCTCTAAATTTCCGTCATCCCCTGTCTGTGTGTCAATCGGGTTTTATATCATGATCTTCTTGAATTTGTTGCCATTTCAAGCGCAGAGCATGACATACACGATGTATCAACGGAAAAGAGTGGCACAGTATAATAGCCAGATCACCCGTTACTTGAAGATGGAACTATTTTTTTGGTTCGTTGTGTCCCTTTCAATTTGGTGGTCGTTTTTGATTATCTGAGCATCAACTGCGATTCCTCCACATTTCACTTCAGGCACAGTCTCGTCTTGTATGTAAAACCTCTCTTTCCTGATCTAGTTGTACGAGTACCCTCGCAACACTACTGTTGATTTTGTCTTTTTTTTTGTTGCAGTCCAAAATCAATACAGTAACATGAGCGTCGAGTGAAAATTGAAGTGAGGTAGTTTCATTTCTCGATTTTCCATCTCAATTGTAACCATTTTTAAAATATCACACCTCTTTTCTCGAAAGGGTTGTATGCCAAACGCACGAAATATTCAACAATATACTAGCTTCCTCAAGGAGTCATTGCAATCCTTAGTATTTATATTGTCTCCTCTCCTAGAATTGGACAGAACTAAACGTGCGATACAAGGTTTTTAAACTTCGTGTTGACTATGATCACGAACTGGGGAGTAAGCACGCAAACATGAACGAGGTTTGTGGAGTGTCCACATCTCATTTAGGCGGAAGCTTCGTCAATTCGTCATTATGTTCGAGGGTCCGAGGTCAGTCCGTGAGATAGTAGAGAAAAGGACTGATTTTGAAGAGATATAAAATGATCACGATAGCTAGCGATACGGGAAGAATCATGATGAAATGCTCCGGCTGCATCGCCCTTGTGCGTGTGGAGGAGATACGGCCTCTCGAAAAAAATTCTTCCCCTTGATGATACCTGTATCGTGAGAGAGTATCCCACTACCTCGTCACGAGGAAACGCAGAATTGGTCCTTCCAAGCTTCTCTCCTGGTGACAAGTGCAAAGTGATCATCAGTTTCTGCCAATGAAATTTGAGTCAAAGTTTTAACCGATATTGGAGTCTGTCTGTCGTTGCAACCCTAGATCTGACGCAGGAAATTGGTGTCAGAATCCAGTTCTCAAATGACGCGAATTGTGAAATTTCCTCGAATGACACCGCAAGCCCTTCCACTTCGTACAGGATCTCCGACGTTTGCGGATCCTGTCAGTTTCTCGCCGCTTCCATTCCATTCCATTCAGGGGAATCTGTCTGCTCGAAAATAATGAGGCCCTTACTGTTCTGAAATTGTGCCAGGTACCCTAAACCTCCCAACTGGTGCATCATCTAAAAAGAGCATTGAAATCACACCTATTACAATGATTTTCACAATATGATCACAGAGAAATTTATACACAACGTTGATTGGTACAATAATCTCTCAACAATTGAGTTTCATTCAGCATTTTTGTTTATCTCGAAGTTACTTTTGAAAGTCCTTGTGACTCAGGCTCTTGTGCACCAGTTGGGAGGTTTACGGTACCTGGCACATGTCGATCCAAAAAGAAAATACCATCCATTGGAAGATATGTTGAAAATTTATGAATAGCTTTCTGGGCGTGATGTGACTATAAATTCATGACCGATAATTAGCCTTAACTCATTAGGTCGCTCTTAATCTTAGGCAGTTTTAATCATCTAATCAATTTAATATAGTCGCATCAAGATAATTAATTTAATTAAATTTTATTTGGTGCTAAAACTCGCATTAGCGCATTCGCAGGGAGAGAAATTCACCATCGTGCCGGGTTTGGAATGAGTGTAATGAAAGAAGAAAATTTAATTTATAAATTTCGGTATACAACTCAATCAACTGTGAAATTGATTCACAGTTGGATGGTTAAAATCTCACATGCTCCAATTCTGAATCAAATACAGAGTATATTCTACGGTTAATTTAAAGTACCTAAAGTGGAGCTCCCTCTAGCGGTTAAATTACTTCTTACTTTCAACAACCGAAGGTTGTCAGAAACACGGACCAAAGCACTCATCATGTCCTGCTCCAAACTGTGAATCTGCTGAAATAAACTCTGTGCTCATATTCTATGGGTGTATAGGAAGTCCTCATGGATTTGATCAGAACGAGGAATATTTTTTAGATCATCGCACGGTAAATCTGTAGTCAGATTCATCAGAGACTTAAATATATGTAATCAAAAAGGCTTTGCCCTTCATTTTGTTGCAGTATTTAGTCATCACTTGAATCTAGCAAGTAAAACTACAGTACACATACAGTTGCTACACTAGACCGGGCAGGTCAGTTATGAATGGATATGCCTCAAGTTTTCATAATCAAAGATAGCGAACTATCTCAGGCATCTAATTGAAGTCCTCATTCCCGCCCACTGAAAATCTCAGCTACACGAACTCCTGAAATGAAATTGCAAAGTTCTTGTTTGACACAAAACCCTAAACACAGAAACAGACTTACAACCTTCAAGACTCAGCAGGATCCATTGGTATTTTCTGCTCCTTGGAATTCAATTCCTCACAAAATAGGTGATATTTAATCATCACTGCCTTGAAGACTAGGATTTCACCGAAGGCCTAAGATATAACATAAGACAGTGTCATCAGGTAAGTCAGACAATGTAGGTAAGTTTGTGATCACCATCGGCCGGTTGGACGAAAAACAAAAAATAGATGAACCTATGACAAAAAGGACCGATGAAGTCTACGAATCCCGAATGTTTAACAAATGTGCACACAAGGCGGAACGAGCGCCTCGTTCCATGAGTCCTTAAGTCGGCCAACGCTTGCCCACTTCGGGGCTCCCACGTTTACACTAGAGTGTCGCTTGAGAGAAGGGCTCACGATTGAACATCAAATAGAACGTAAATGTCACGATGTGGGAAACAATGAAAACGCTTGCGATCCCCTAAGGAAAGACCACACCACTACGCAGCGAGAACCTGAACCCCGTCCTTCACTAACACTAGTGCAGAAAACGATGTGGACGTCCAAGGACAGAGAGGGTTGTACACACAGCTCGCATGGTGAAAGCTGAGAACTTCATTCTAGGCTGGAACGTCGAGGCAATAAGAAGAAGTTCGAGCACACAGTGGCTGAGACGGCTCATCCCCAAACCCTAGACATGGGCCCACAGATTAGATCACGAAATCGTTATGGTGGGTACACGGTATACGAACGTCTAAACTAACCCTGCGTACTAACACATGTGTACGGATTGCAATGTAGTATTTATCATCGTCTGCTTACGGCAGAAGGCACAGTCTAATCTTATATCTTTCCAGAACATCAAATGAGTTGCAGATTTGAAAATACAGCTGCGACGTCAAAGCACAACCTCTAGGTAGACCTATGGCCCGCTCCTGACTTCGTCGGGAATAGGGTGGGATCCTGATATTGAGGACATGTCATCTTAACTACATCTTGTCGAGTACGTTTTCGTTCCTCGTTTTCATATTGATGAGCACATTGCTTAGTCGAAAGAAATCCCCAACCGACATGACCATACCGAGGCACATTTAAGTATATAGTATGCCTGTGCATGTACGTCAGTACACATCTGCACATGGGATTTGTGCACTTTACCATCCTCACTTGGAGTCGTCATATCTCATACTGGTGGAAAGGGAAACAATCAGCGTGGTTTTGATTACTTTCATCCTTACAGAGACAAAATCCCGAGTGACGGTTTAATAAACAAAAATGAGCAGGAGATAGGATGCAGCCTGCGGTCCACGAGATTCAACTAAAAGGTTTCTCCTGAAAATCTATACCTGATGCTCACTTTAAAACGCGCAATTAGAACATATCTATTAGTTTGGCTTCTCGACAGTGAGACCTCAGGTTTCTCATAAGGGGTTCTTTAGGCGAGCAGTGGGTTCAGACAGAACAACTGTGAACAAGCACGAAAGAAGGCGTCACGGCGGACATGCCCTGCCCTGCAACATCGAATGCGGAACGATTTTCTTCACTTTTGAGATGCAGTCGTAGCGGCCACCATGTTCCAACTTTCTTTCCATTGTACTGTACAGGTGACTTGATAAGAGACAATCATTTCTCCAAAATGGTGGAGGCTATTCTCCTGCATTCATATATAATAATTCTACATACATCAGATCTGGGTCTTCGCGTAGGAACTGATGAACTCTTCTACATGGTAAAAAGTCCATATATGGTACACAACGTGCGGACTACCACACAAGGAAGTAGAGCTGACAATGCCAACCCTCCATTGGTGGAAAATTTAGGCTTCTAACTATCTGCGCAGGAGATGAAACATTGACATTCAAGTGGATTACAATACACATGCTATGGTACTTCACTCTCCGGCTTCCCAGAGACACAGATCTACAGCAGGTGGACTCCGGCTTCGAAAAAATAGAGGGCATCCTACAGTGCTCAGTGTTAGAGATTCAAAACAAGTATGAAGGGACGTTCGCCAAGACGAGGGCTTTATAGTAACCACGGCAAAGCCTCCTTTTTCCTGCAATTATATCACAACAAAGTGCAACGAGTAAATGACGGTCGTTAACCTCTACGAAAAGCTCTCAAAAGAGAAAGAGAAGAATTTTATTGATGGGACGCATGGTAGATATGGAGTTATTTTGTTGGGTGGGGACAGAAGGAAGAAGGAGCATGGTTTCAGAACGTTGTTGCTTGTGACGTCTGTTTCTCCCCATTGATGAAAGGATATGGAAATGACTGAACACAGGACTTCAACCGTGCAAACCCGGTCACTCACGGTAACAACAAGAAATCCATTACAGAACCTTTTGGTTGGAAAACGCAACTCCGAAACTGGTTAGTCTCTTACCGAGCACCAATCATACGTGGAGTAGAATACTCTTCACACACACCTGCTGCCTCTCATCTTTATAAGGGCAGTTGATGGTCAACCCTATAGGCCACAATAGCAATATATATAAGATGAATAAGTCAGAAACACTGCTGGATCCACAACTTTTCATCGTAATGACAATCGATAGAGAAAGAAATAGTAGAGTGGGGACGAAGGATTGGAAAAGATCCGCGATGGAATCGACATTTGAAATTTTCAGAAAATGGGTGTCCATTTCACTAATTCCTAATCTAGACATAAGATGGTCGATAGTTCTCGAAAGACCATATCAAACCAAGTGACCTAACAGGCACCAACGAAGGAAGGGAGTTAGGCCATACGACTCAATCAAATGCCGCCATCTTTTGCTCCAGGTGGTCAACTAAAAGTAGGACTTTCAAGAGCTATATATAACTTTCCTCATTCAACACCTAGTCATGTCCTAGGACATGGCGTGGTACCGAGACTGCACAAAATCAAAGCTTTCACAGAAGAACTTTCCATGGGCTTGATGTAACAATGTTAAATTATCCACTACCTAACTTAGTTATGCACATTTAGACTTCCCACATCGACTTCCCTGAAAACTTCAAATCCCCCGACGGGTAAATAACGGGAGCGACACTTCCATCCTCGACAAACAACACCTTATGGTCACTGATGCCTTCAGTTTATCACCAACGCACCTCAGGCTCGATACTTTGAATCGTTCTTGCTCCGGAATGGTGCCAACGAGAAGAAAGACCGAGGCACTGATACAATAAAATCACACGCATTAGTTCGTCAGTAGGCCTGAAAGGTAGCTTTTGGAATCAAAAAGACAATATACATGCGACTAGCAGAAATCCATTAACGGCAAGGTCGCCTCAGTTATTGTTTCTCAGGGCTCAAAGGCGATGGGGTGGTTACGGATCACTTCCACTGCAACGCGACTAAGAGGAAGCTACATTTTCTGCACAACTGGACCACAAGCAAAAAAGAGTCGTAACATCTGGAGACAGTACCTTTGAGTAAGGTAGGTCCAGAAAGGTGGTCTTCTCGCAACCTATAATTGGGAGGTGGGGCTGGAATAAAGTTTTCAATGGTGTGCACTGCAGGCACTGCAGACACCCCACCTGTCTTGACACGAAAATGGTGAGGCGATGAAACTTAAGGCAGCAGCAAGAGTAATCTGATGTATCACAGCGGGTAGTGCTGGAAAGAACTGCACTCAGAGAAAAGGATTGGGGATAAGACGCGGGAAACTTTGGGCCATTCCGGGCTGATGATGTAGGGTGATGTCGAGGAAAGTTTGAAGGTGGGGGATAGGGCATCACACAAAGGGTTGGGGCCATGAAAATTGGGTCTGGGTAAGGGCAGGGTTGGGATGCGACAATGGGAGGTGAGGTGAACTAGTCGATCCTCAAGTAGGGTTAAAGAGTCCACAAAAACACGGTAGACAACAACGACAACAAATCGGCCTCCAATCGAACTTCGACAGATACGGTTGTAGAACAGTGTAGAAAAAACTTTGTCATTATGTCACAGCTTCAAATAACATAGAGTCGATAACAAGACTTGCAGGCATTTGAGAACTCACCACGATCTCCGGATCCATTTGAATCAGTTCTTGAATCTGTTCTTGAAGAGTCGGGACTGTCACCCATATATCTGAGGTTGTTACCTTTACCATTCAAGGTAGTCCTGGACCTTGAAGTCTTGTTGCTGGAGTCGACCTTCTTGTTCGGAATATCACTGAGCCGGCTACCACCAACCTTAGTTTCGTCTGCATCATCGTCTCCCTCAGACGCAGTAGAAGCTGAGACCCACTCGCTTGCATTCGCAGTGTTACCCTTAGAACTCCTCCGACCAAAATTTAGAAGCCTTTTCAGGCCCTTCGGCGCATCTTTTGAACCTTGTTGAGTTGAGGAGCTGGACTTTTGGGAACCACCCCACTTCTTTCGAGACTTGCTTGCATCCACCTTGTTGGAATGTGGTGAGAGAGAACGTTGCAGCTGCGGGAAGGTCCGGGAAGTAGGACTTGCGGCTGGTGAAGTTGTTGCCACAGCAACAGGGGCTTCATAATCATCAGGCACAACTGTATCAGATGGAGATGCTAGCACAAAGTCATAATCCTCTATATTAGGTGCCATAGTTGTCTGGGAAGGGGACGGTGAAGTAAGAGCAAGAGGAGCATTGTAGTCTTCTGGAGTGGAAACTAAGGGGAAAGCAGTAAAATTAGATTCAGGTGGGGAGAGAGGGGCTAGAGGGGCTTCAAAGCCTTGACTGTTGTCGACAATTGTCTGTACTGGTGCGCGCACAGGGGAATCTAGGACTTCAGTTACCTTCACCTCGAATTCATCCGCAGTCTTGACTTCTTCGGCATCTCCGTGTGGTTCAGGTTTAAGATCCTCATCGCTTTGTTGACCAGCATGTGAATCATCGGTAGCTAGAGTTTGCGGTTGTATCAACGCAGTCATGTCTGCTTCCAGTGAGGGAGCAGATATGTCGGCTGTCTCCGGGGGAGGGGAAGCCGGTGATCGGATAACAACAGGGCCAGGGGCGTTGGCTGGTCTTTGTGTAGCGTCTTGAGGGTCCTCTGCAGCAAGTACATCAGTTACCTTCTCTTCTGTTGTAGCTGATGCGATTGGTGAAGATAAAGCGACTACTGCGTCCACAGTGTTGGCGATAACCTCCTCCTTGGTCCCCTCTTGGTCAGACTGCAGATTATCGTGAGACGGTGCGGAAGGAGTATCTGGACCATCCTCGTCCATACTCTTGGTGCTGTCTGACATCTGGGAAGACTTCAGCTTCCTGACGACAGATCCAGCACCTGGACCAATTCCAGTTCCTTTGCGGAGAAAAGGTTTGGCATCTTGGGCAGCTGTTGCGGTTGTACTCTTCTTCGCGACCTTGGCAACTCCAGATTCAGGTAACAGTTCCTTCGGGGCCTTCAAGGGGGTCGACACCGATTCGGTAGAGGGTGAGCTTGTTACACCTTTCAATTCCGTGACTGTGGCGATGCTTTTCCTCGATGAAACCGAACGACGTTTCTTATCATCCACAAACACTGTGGCTCTTGCGACAGAGCGGGATGATACACCCCCATTTGATTCCAGCGGAGCGGCATCATTTGCGCTTTTGGAGCGATGCATGCTGCTCAAAAATTTGGCCTGAATGCGTGCAGAGCCTCCGACCTTGTCACCAAGAGAGCTACGCCCTGAGGGCTTCGTGTTCTCTTTCCGCAAGTCTCCAAGCGAAGGGACAGACCGGCTAAGGGGATTCTCCGCTGCTGTCTGACTTGAAGGGTTTTGTCCACGTCGTTGAGCTGCTGCTACACCAGCAGACCCTGTCTTTCCAGGAATCGCTTTAGGTGATGATAACACAGCTCCGCGACCCGCGGCTCCTGCTGTTCCTACCTTCAGGCTTTTGGACGGAGAGAGCCTTTGCAGAGGATTTGATTTTGGAGTTGTTGGTGTTTGTCTTGCAGCACGTGGTGTGGATGAAGCTGATTGCGTGCCGGAGGTTGGACTACTCCTCGCAGCAATCCTTTCTCGTCGCTGCATCCTGATCTCATCAATCCTCTTCCTTTCCTCCTCCTCCTGACGATCAAACACACAGAAATGAGCGACGGTAAAGGTATTAGAAGCAGCCATCGTACAGATATCCAGCTGGTTCTTCCAACCAAATGTCGCAGAGACAATGAAAAATTTGATGTACATACAAAAGAGTCACACAATGGTGAAACTAGACGGCTGCAAGACCAGAGGAAACGATTTCATTCTTTCAGTTTGAAAGAAGACGAAGAACTAGAATATGATGAAGTAAAACATGATCGGCAAGAGGGGCTCAGCTTGGAGTGAAGTGTCAGGGACCAATCCGCGAGGCACAAACGCAGGGTAGATTATGCAATATATAAGTATAAGTCAATTGGGTTGTTCGGTGTGTGAAGGGACCTTTACCTTCTTTTTCTTGCTCTCCAGGAGGCCGGCTTTGAAAGCTCTCAACTTTTCAGCGCGAAGTTGTGCATCGGCGGAGCATGCATACTTCTCATTAGTCCTCCCACCCCTAGAAGCCATCTCTGCCTTTCGTTTCTCAAGAACTTCCTGCATTGCTTTGAGCTTAGCTTCCCGCTCGGCCCTCTTCGGTCCCGGCTCTTCTCTCAGTTTAGCATCCCTCTTCTCGCGATATTGCTCGTAGAACCTCCCCTGCTGATCCTTGGGAGACTCGCTGTCTCCCACAACACTCTTGTGATCGTCATCATCTTTGAATCCCTCTTCGTAAAACTCCATATCGTAATCGACAGCTGTATTCCACGGTCTACCTAAAGACTCCCGACCGGTATTCCGTTCAGGGATATACATCAAATCCTCCGGTGCAAACACAGAAGCGTTTGCGGAGTCTTTTTCCACATTTCCTGCATTTTGCTGGTCGGTGGATATTTCCGACTCCATGTTCACAGCCGTCCTCCAATTAGCTGTTTGATCCTGAACAGGCACTCTAGCTGGTACGATGAATGAATCATCCTGCACAGTAACCTTAGTCTGATCTTGATTGTACGCAGTCATTTCTGACTCTTGACTCACAGCCCAGGTACCTCTCTGCTTTTGACCTTCTTCACGGGCACGTCCACGGTCTGGGAGCATGAAAGAATCATCGGCCTCACTTTCTTTCACATAAGTGCCTTCTTGATCCAAAGGATCGGCTGGGAAGTGAGCTCTCGATTTGCTCTGGTCCACTTGGTCGCCTCGGTCACGCAGGTTATTTTCTTCTCTTGCTAAGTTGTCCTTCTGTACCTGATTAGTTTGTTGGTACAAATTGGATTCTGACTCGAACTGGGGCAACGATCTTGACGCTGTTTGACCACCCTGACCTCTCTTCATAAGAGCAACCGAGGCATCGGAGTCCATGAACTGACTTGTTTGCATAGCATGCTGCTCGACAGCACCCTCGTCATGTCCAATTTCCTGAGTTGGGCGACTTTGAACCTCATCCTCTTCGGACTTGGACTGATGTGTACTTGGATTACCTGCTCTAAGCTCTTGGTCCACGGTGCTGCTTCCTTGCTTCGAATGGACGTCCGAATCTTCAAAGGGACTTCCATCTTTCGTCCTCCTAGCAGCTGCCTCCTTACTCACATCACTTGCTCCACTCCAGCGCTTGACACGATCATTGAAAGAAGAACTACCACTCTCTGTGGATCCTCGTCGGCTACTATCTTGCCTTGCCACTTTCTTGGCTGCATCGCCTGATTCCTTCCTCTTCTTTTCAAAGAGATTGATGGCATCCTTCACACTGAAACGGACTTGATCCGCCTTTTGTTGCGCGGTTTCCTCGTCGTCTCCACTGTCGCTGTCGTCTGAGTCATTGTCACTTCCCCGATCTCTCGCCGCAGCCGCTCTATCTTGTGAACCTGAGGTGATGTAATTGATATTTCGTATGACGACCAAACCCGAACGCCTGGACCCTGACCTTCCCACTTGCACCTTCCGTAAAGGAGAAGACGATCTTCGCCTCGGAGATGTTGATCTCCTTGCAAGACGCCTGTTTGAAGCATCCGCTGGAGACAAGGCTTGTTTACCTGCTGGTGATGGGCTATTCTGATCTGCATTCACATTCATCACTACTCCCCTTTCGTCATTATGCTGCTGCACTGTGGCATTTGGTGGGGACTGCAAGTCCGAGGATGGTTGTATCGTCTCAAGATGATCTTCTGCACCTACAGAGTCTTCCATAGCAGGAGACTGACTCTTGACATATGGCTGGTTGCCAGAAGGCAATGAAGGAGACGATCCCTGCATTAATCCTCCAACGTCAGGGGAGCGATTACCCCTCGGTTGTAAATCTCTAGTGTGCGCTGGTGAACCATTTGTGTAGTGAGGCTCAGGGCCTCTACCCGGATCTCCATGTGACTGGTTATTAGCAGCGCCACCGTACTGTTGACCTCTCGACTCATGTCCAGTGTTGTCTGGATAGCCGGCATTGCCTTGCCAATATTGTGGTGGTTGCTGGGATGCCCAGTTAGCATGATTGTCGCCTTGCCTCCACTGTAAAGAGCTATTGTTTTCCCCATAGCCTGAATGGTGTGCAGGATTTCCGTAGTGGGTGTGGTGACCGTACGGGACAGCACCGTGCATGTTGCTCCTTCCAGGTTGCTGCGAATTTCCATAGTGTCCTCGATGTTCATAATTCTGTTCGTCCTCTCCAGCTGGGACCCAACCAGGGAGTCTCGAAGCAGGACTGGTAGAAGGAGATATCCCGTGAAAATTCTGCAAATATCTTGGAGACTGGTTTACAATTCCACCTCGGGCGCCTTGACCGTGAGCATCCCTGTATTCGTAACCGTGCTCACCCTGGTACATACCGGGTTCCATTGGTAACCGGCTTCCCGGATAACCACCGGGTGAAAGGCTGTATGGTCTTCCTAGCATGTCGTGAGTGTACGCAGATGCCTGTAGCTCATCGATGCTAGGAGGAACCATACCACCACCTTGACTGTATCGAGCACGGGCACGATATGCTCCTGGACCGTATTCTCCATTGACGTCACCTGAACCATCGTCCTGAGAACCCCTCCTTCTCTTAAGGTCATCATCACCGAGAAAACCTCTTCCATCGCGGTAGAAGCTATTGTGCGATCGCATGCTAACGTCGTCACGAGCATCATCTCCAGCTTCGCTATTGACGTCTGACCAGGCGTCAGAGTACTCTTTTCCTCGATTGAAATTTGCTGAGCCTTGTACATACTCGGGTACGCCTTCCGTGCGGTTTGCAGCAGCCTCAGCGGCTGCCATTTCCATTTCTTCCAACCAAAGACCTGCTTCCTTTCTCTTCTTGCACAAAGCCATGAATTTTACACAAGCCTCCCTGCAATGACAGGATTTTCCAGGTGTTGAGAGCAGCTCCAGAGCATGTCTAGTGTTTAATCAATGTGCAGAAGTGACTGATTGAGTGTTGTTGAAAGCAGGCCAACAGAAAAGCTCGTTTGCTGCCAGAACTTTAATTGAAGATACACTAGATGCCCTGAACACGGGTAGAACTCAGATGTTCCACGTGAAAAGCCTCAGGACAGAAATATTCGAAATGTTGCGATAGGGGACAGCCTTTCAGAAGAGACTAGGTTAACCGCCTGATGTTTTCAGACCACACAACTTTAAACAGTTTAGTGAGGCCAAGAGTACAGCTAAGGTTTTCGGAGCAGCACAAAGGTTTCTTTCATACCGTAAACGAGAGGCCCCGAAGCAGTCAGCAAAGGCTATGAGATCCTCCATGTGCTCCATGTCAAAGCCGGCGGCAGCAGCCCGGGCAAACGCCATTCCCTGCTCCTTCTGCAACATAAGTCGGCGTGCATCCATGGCTCGGAGTAGACGCCACCTGAACACAAGATGCACTTAGTCAACTTTGGTAGAATCCAGTAACATTTTTGAGAAGTTAACCTCAGGTGCACGTGCAAATTCAAGAGGCTCTAAACAATCGACAGAATTCTATGTGTGTATACCATCTCGCAATCTGTCAACATCATGGTCAGATCTAGAGATAATCCGCGGTGTGATCTAGAAAACATGACAAATAATCAAGAAGGTTGATAGGTACTTCGAGCTGTCTCCTCCCGTGATGTCGGCACCGTCCATGGAGTTGCGCCTCGACTGAATGGAGAAGCCAAAGTTAATTACTGCGGAGATAGCTCAGCACGGGTGGCAATCATACAAGAAGACGAGTATTATTTGGAGGAACTTGTACACTGCTCAATTGCTAGAGTGAATTTGCAATAGCTTGACCTTCAATCAAACACGTATTAGAATTACATAACTCCAGTTTAATACCTTGGTTGAAAAGCCGCCTTTCTCGATATTGAATCCCTGCACCATGAAGCCACCTGCAGTCCACGGAAAACAACGATTGGAAAAGCTCCTTTGATTGAACCTACATTGGTAGAGTTCAGAGCACATTACCAAGAATACATCGAATAGGCATCTCCGTACGACGATCGAGATTCGAAAGACATGATTTCAATGAATCCGAATGCTTGGAGCGAGCTTCGTATGTAAGGGATCTACACAAAGTTTTTTGTACCTCGAGCGAAATTGATTAATAGATGGCCAAGAATCAAATACGCTACATCCGCCCATTCTCTGAGAGGGGATACCCCATTTTGGATAACGACTAAAGATCGGAAGCCCTTGCGGGAGAAAGACAATAGAAAGGACATTATCCGGTCAGGAGCAGATCAGGGGCAAGGAATTGTCGTGGATTACTGATCCTCGAGGTACTTTGAGTGGGAGGATGGAACGAATGAATGCGAATGTGTAACAGTAAATGATTGGACAACTTCAATGTCAAAGGCGCTTTACTGCTGGATGCGACATCTTCTCTACATCGATCCAATTGCTTGAGTTCGGCATTCCAGACAGCTCGATCTCCAGATCCACAACAAGCATCCTGATGTCTACGTTGTCTGATGTGCAATTTACATTCGCCATCACAAGTGTAGCCATGTCTAGAAGATTGCATCCTGTCAAGTATATGTCTCAGAAATCGGCAGAACGGCATCCTTGTACTCTACGCTAGACCATGAATCGGGTCTAAGGAATTGCATGGCTCTCATGGTCTTCGTTCAGAGTTAGATGTACGGGTTCTTTAAGACATGTTGAAGACACGCTGCGGCAGGATGGCCGAGACAGAATGGTGGAGCCCAAGGAAAATTGGTCGAAAATGAATGGAAGCGCAAATTAGTGGACTACTGAGGAGTAAGCTTCCCACTCTTACCTTGGGGAGGTGTGGCAGGAGAAGTTCTGAGGTACTGCTCATCGACCTGCCGTACCACATAAAACGTCACCGTTAGCAGCTGCACGAGAATAGAAGGTGAGACTAAGAAGAAGGATCAGATAGTGTGGTGGTACAGATGCAGCTTTCGGGATATGGCGTCTAGAAATGGTTTTGAGGGTGCATTACCCGTGCCTCATTGGCTTGAACGCTAATCGCTTCCTCAATCTGAACGAGCTCCGCCTCGACGGAACTGACCCGTTCGAGCACCTCGGGTGTGCTGACGAAGCGAACGAATCTGTGAAAAGAGCAAATAAATACATGTCAGTGACACATCCAGCTTGGATTTCACTCCAGGTTGCCCTATTACCTTCGATGAGGAATCATCATATCGTGACGTGAGACATTGCACGAAGAATGAATAAAAAATAAGAATGGAGCGCAGACAACGCATTCACACGTCATACTCTGCCCTCCTTATCGGTACGGCACAGCCTGAAAACCGAGTATGTAGTAATCTGCATCGACTGGTCTCCTGTACGGAAGAGACTACAACTGAAGCTCGCTCACATGTCCTGAGAAGAAATCCGAGGACATGCGCCCGTGCAATGCAATGTGGCTACATCTGATCGGTTCTCTATTAGCAGAAAATTGCGTCCCCCGAGGCCATGCCAAGAGGTTTCATATCACAGAAATGGTCCTCGCTCACAGCGATGGAGAGGTCGGTGATACGACGAAGCCACTATGAGCTAAAGCATGTTGGATTAGCCGTGGTAAACAAACAGAGGCCGACGACGGCTCAAGGCCACGCCCGTACACAAAAATTAGTCGCACCTCTCAATGGTGCCTTTGGTGAACCAATCCGCCCCATGGACGGTCGATGAATCGGCGAAGAAGGGCACCAACTTTATGGAGTATCCTCCTCTCTCAATCTCCTCTTCTGCTGCTTTCAAATGTGCTAAAAACGGCTTCAGTAGACCTGAAGCAAGCTTCTCCGTCACACCTCCAGCTGAAACCAGGAGCTCACACCTGCAAGCCACGGCAACACAGGCATTAGGAACCCTATCTGTGCGCGAGGGCCAGGCGACGAGCTGCAAGCACGTACGACGCGACGACTGACAGCTTCACTGCAGTCCTCGTCGGGCCTGCGAGAATTGAACCGATACATTCTCCACACAATGTCCAGGCGGTTATCGCGAGGAACGGAAGCAGCAGCAGACGAGACTGGCCTCGTGCAGCTCAGACAGCATCCACAGAGCGCCTGAAGAATGAATGCACTGCGCGAGGCAGGACAGTGAATTGGCTCGGCAGAACCAGAACCGCGCCGCTCGACGGCGACGGACAATGCTGTGAGCATGGAGAGACGACTGCGGCAGAGGCGAGCGACAATGGAACGAATGTCGGTCTCGAGTCGAGTCGAGCTCGAGCTCGAGGCAAACGCATGGCGGAGTGAAGTGCGAAGGGGGGGAGATCAAACAGGGCGATGCAGCGATGTCCCACCTTGTCCGTGTTGGCGTGAGCTGGAAAACGGCGAAATCTAGGCGCGTCTCGGACCTCATTGTAGAGCCTCGCTCAAGATCAGAGCATAATCTGACGAAGTGGTCGTGACTCATAACCCATTAACAAACCTGTGAGCGCCAGACCACACACAGCCAATCAATGCCCGCGAGCGCGAGTCCTAGTTCACCCGCAGCGGCTGCATTGCTTCTCCTCCTCCACAGACCACGAGAGACGCAACGCCGCAAGCGCAAGCACTCTTCCCGACACTGGCCCCAGCCCTCCTCGCGCCCCGCACGTCCTCGTCCCACTCCTCCATCTCCACTCCCGTCATTGCCCACTCACTCTTCGCACTCTCTCTCTCTCTCTCTCTCTTGCTCTCTCTCCCGCCACCAAAATCGGCTACATCCGAAACTCCACTCCCGACCTCCGCCGCTCGCTCATCGACTCGCGCCCGATCTCGTCGCCCGCATTCCACACACTGCACAAGGCCTCCCCTCGCCGCCACAAGCAACACAAATCTCCGCGAAATAGGCAGCAGCAGCAATCCGCACAGAAAACAACACTCGCCCCCGCCCCTGCTCCGAACGCAAACCTCAAAACTCGCGACTCCGATCGAACCAACAACAACCACCACCGACCCGCAGCGATGATGCAGCAGTCAGTCAGTCAGTCAGTCAGTCCGTCCCGCATCGACGACCTTCCGTTTCCCTTCCCTTCCCTTCCCTGCGCCTAGCTACTCCTCCTCCTCCTCCTCTTTTCTGCTCTCAGAAACACCGACGCAACGGCGCCAGCCTGCGAGTCTGCTTCGTTCTTTCTTTCGTCGGGCGGGCAGCCACACCTCGCCTCATTCACGACTCCATGCAAATGCAAATGCAAATGCTCGAGCCAGAAGCGGGGGAGGGAAAGGAGGGAAGGCAGGGAGAGGGGGGGAGAGGAACGGGTAAAGCTCTGTCTGTCTGTCTGTCTGGCCGTCTGGCCGTCTGTCCGGCTGTCTGGGCTCTGGCGTCTGTCTGGGCCCCTGCCGCGCTGCGCTGCGCTGAACGCCCTGCCCTGCCCCGCCCCCTCCTGCCCTGCTCTTCTGCTCTGCTGCTCGTCTGCTCCTCCTCTCGGCCCCCGCTCGCTCTTGCTCTCGCCCGGCGCTCCTCCTACTTGACTCGCCTTGCCTTGCCTTGCCTTGCCTTGGGGGCGAGCTCTGCTGCGCCAGGGACGAGTCTGGGGTCTGGGGACTGCGCCGCGACTGGTAGGGCCACGCGCGACGTCATTCGCGAGCGTCGTCGTCGTCGCGCCCTGCCCGCCTCGTTTTTCGGCCCTTTTCCCTTCCGACACGTTTACGCTGGCGATTTCCCTCGCCTTTCTTTCCTCTTCGGAGCTTCCCCCTCTCCGCTTTTCCGGCCACCTCCAACTCTGGGGCCGTCTGCTCTCTCTTCTTCTTCCGTCTTCTTCCCCCGCCGTCGCTAATTTATCTCTCCTCCGCCAGCTTCACCGGCTGACCGGCTGACCGGCTGACTACTGTTCGGCCGTCCACCATCTGGGTCCCGTACCGTACGTACCTTCCGTCTTGAACCTTTGGGTCGCACGTCTCCTCTTCCCCCCTCCCTCACTACGGCCGGTTTTTTCAAAGCTGTTCAAGGTTGCAACTTCGGTCCGTGAAGGGCTTCGGGAAATGGTTGTCTGAAAGTTCTGTCGACGTTGAAAAACCGCGATTTCTGAATAGAGCTGATTATACATGTGGTGCAAGAAGTTGTATTTTATTTGGACTGGCGAGAGGAGGAGGTTGAGGTTGCTCGATTGATCGATGCTCCGCCAGTGGGAGGGAAGAGTTGTTTGTATAAGCATCTGGAGCTTAGAATTGGGCATGATGATGAGGGCAGCGGAGCACATTACGAGAGGCTGTAGTGTACTTGCTCATGGACCGGATGCGACTCACACTTGGTTGACATAGTGGGACGAGATCGAATGACTTGTCGGGGCCAAATTGGAGCCGGCATTGTCGAACTGGATTCTATGGGACGGGGACGACCGAGAGACTTGCATTACATGTCACGACAATGAAGTTTGACTGATTCTACCTCGCGAGCAAATCTCCTGGCCCTCCGAGTAGCGGTGGTCGCCAGCCAGCGAGCTAGCCACTTTGGGGTAAAAATTGCAGGCTCATTCTCAGGAGTGCAAGTGGAGCTGAGCAATACATCAACGTATGGAAAGTAAATCATTTATGCGCTCGAAGTGTCAGTTCACGAGTCACACCGAACTGTAACTCTTTGCAGCTGTGGTCAAACGAACGAAAGCGACTCGGCATCTTTCTCCTGCAATCCCGACATTCCGAAAAATAGTTTTCATTTTCACTTCTGCACAAGCCTTCGTCCATTTAAGTTGTCGTTATAATATTGTTTTCGTGAGTGTTTAGCTCAAGGATTTGGGTATAAACCCCATCCATCGGTAGCACAACAGTGGAGATCCGTTGTTCACCATAATTCCAGTGCATCCCAGCCCAGCAGCAAAGTGCCAAAATTAGTGCGTTGTCGAACATGATTGTGGAGAGTGCGTCACTAGCCACAAATGGATAGACAGATCACAGCCATGTTTTGCTAGTTGAGGTTTTTGTTGCAGCGGCTTTAAAGGAAAGAGGGCGGGCTTCTAAATCTGATCACGAGCTAATTGGATTCAAATTCCGGACACTTTGGCTGCAGATCGAGCTTCCATCTGGTTCAAGGGTCGAGCTCATGAGAGCAACCATTTTACAAATCTGGAGGCCATGTAGACTTAAATTAGATTGCTTGAATATTCAAATTCAAATTAATCGTAAAATCCGGAGACGGTTTAAGGGATGAATGGTGGGCATGACCTCGATGCTTATTTAAGATCGACACACGAAGTGGATTTTTGGCTCCAAATCTGTTGGGCATTGACTCGGAGGTGAGCACGAAAACAGTGAGAGAGATTCGATATTCAGGAGAACATTTTGTTCAACAAAGTGCACGGGGAAGGTTCCATCATCTGCATGGAGTTGTTGCTCCCACACAAGGCAATCATTTACCATTGACGAGGTGCAGCAGGAAAAGTGGGTCTATGATTTTCAACCTCATGAACCTGTCAACTCGAACAGTCCAAGATTTTGCGTGATTCTCACAGCAGCAACAACAACTACTACTACTTCTACTACCATGTGCATGAAATATGTGCAGGATGAATGCATATGCTTCTCCTCTCTCAACGAGCAGCTCACTCAACCACCCTGAGGTAACATTCCGTATGCAGATGCTTCACCGGCCCGACCAAAAACTAGCAAACAAGCTAGAGCCTCCATCCTTCATGGGTCTCACTCTACACCTCAATATATCCATCCAGCACGAGGCTTGGGAAAGAGACTGCCAGATCAACCACAGGTGAGGGGATTGTGTGGGGGAGGAGACTCAGACGGTACAATCATGAGAAAGAGAATTTCACTGTTGGGCTGCAAAGTCCCTTTGTAAAATGGCTCAAGTGGGGATTGGCCTGATGCTCCTCCACAGGAAGTCGCAAGGCCTGGTGGCCGGGTCGTCTCGAACGTCGCAAAAACCTTTGAATGCTTGAGAAAACGCTTCCTCTTCCGAGAAGCGTTTATCTTCCAAAGCTTCCATATGTTCCCCCGTATGGAGGGGATCACGAGTACCGTTAACGTCCGAGTGACGGAACTGTACTTTCCGTTACTCACTCTGACTCGAGACAAACCTTACTTACACATCTGTTGGCCTTTAGGACCACACTGGCTTTTTATATTGAAAATAAAATCCTCGTGGGAGACAGTCCTGAAACGGTTTGAGATTGTTCTTTGTTGCTTTCTTTTATCCATCTAATCTTTACAATTCTGGTCTACTGTATGTACAAGCTGTTTCGATATTCACATGACAGGTACGACGTCAAAAGAAAACGGATCAAGCTTTTCCCAGCTTATAACTCACCCTTCTCTCTGGACAGTATCAAACTATGGCATTTTCTCCTTTAAAGCAAGGTGGAGCAATAGTAGATGTACTGGAAGTCTAAGGTCGCCCCAAACATGCATGCGATGCAGATAGAAGTCACCTGCCTCAGGTCTAACTTGACTGTTCTCACCAAAACTCCATTACCTAAACCTGCATGTTATCTCTATGATAACCTGCTTTGTTCTTGTTCTCGAATGAACTGCTTGTGTTTCAAATTGTTTCGAAATTTACCGTGAGATTCACACGATTGAGCTGTTTTATGCTACGTTGAGCTGCACTAAAAACATGTATTGGGGTCTTCCCATCCTTTGGGCTATATGCTCGGTGCCACGTTCTGTCTTAATACCTAAAACGCCTACAGCCAGCCTACAGCCATCGTTTCCACGAGTCTAGATAATATGAACTCCCTTCAAGCTTATATTCTGGCAACATTACCTCAAAATTATCTGGCTGCTATGCAATTGATTCAAGTCTTGTTGAATTAAAGCCGAACTTCTATTACATTCAGAAACCCACGATGTAAACCGAGAGGCATTTCAGAACATACAAGCTTTGTCAATCTTCTCTTCAAAGTCACCTTCAACATTTTCGCCTCGAGATGCAGGAAGAAAAGAAACACACATGTAATTCTTCATTTAGATCCCAATGATATGTTTGATGCAATATGACCTATTCGGGGCCTAGGCCCATCTTGAAGTTTTGTGTTCATCCATGTACGACTTGATTCATGGAGCGCAAGATCTTTTTGCCGCATTACTAAGCTCACCATTCATTCTCAAGTCCCCAGAACTACTTTACAAGCTACATAACAGACCTCGTATACTATATACTCAACTTAAGCAATCTCGGTCAACTACAAGATTCAGAGGCCATAAGTGTATACCTCATGCAAAAACTTCCAAAGTGACGCCTTTTGCATTTGGTGCTTTATGGTTCAAACCTGAAAGCCATGGTCATATTCCTCGTCCTCGTGTAGCCCATAGTTGAGTAAGCCGCGAGGGAAACTCCCACTAGACGACCACAATGCCGAACAAGAAGAACTGCTTTTTGCGCAATAATTCATTGACTGGTACGATTCCTTGTATTGAGTACTAGACTGCTGGAATTCCTGTGGAAGTTTTTACAGTTGGCGAGACTGATATTAAGAGGAATGATATCTTCGTTCTTTGGGTAAGGGTGCGAGTGCATACTTTAAAATGTAAATATATGAACGGGTGGTCAATCCGTATATTCTTCACTAATATGAGCACTACTCAGCTTTGTAGTGCAAAGTACTATCCAAAACCATGCCCTTCAAACACGACGTAGACCTATTTTCTATTCTCTGCATCTTGTCGTGGGTAGATCGACTCATCAGACCAATCACTTTGTCAAACATGAGAACTAAGTTACTCCACCCGCGAACATAACAGAAATCAAAATCCTCTGAAGTCAGTGTTTGGTAAGTCCTGCAGATTGAGGTAGGGAGGGTGAAGACCCAAGCCCTTCATCCGTCTTCTTCATTCGAAGTTTTGATTCTACAATATATATATATATATATATATACAGACTTCTGAACTGGTTATACCTCAAGTATCATCACTTGTGTAAGGACGAATTAAGTACAACTAGCTAAGTAACGTATCTGACCCTTCTATTACCTCAGTTCATGGTCTTTAGCACGAGTGTGGTGGTGCCTGATGAGGGTACTTTCTTGTCTGCTTTCGTTGTCTTTGAATCACTTTTCAAGACTGATCTAACGCATGTGGACAATATCTCGAGAATGCTTCGAAGGACATATTCGGATTCAGCCTGGAGGGTTTGCAATGTCAGCATGCAAGGTGGGTCTACTGCCTACAGATCCTAAGCCAGCCCCTTTCTCTTGGAGAAACCGATACATTCATAGGAAGAGAGAACCAGATCGGTCTTACTGTTGTGGCAATGAAAGATCCTTCCAGCCAAAAACAGTGTTTTATTTGTCCATATTGAAAAACGGCACGATCATAGGCGCATTGTGATTTGTATCGTTAGCAATCATGTGGTGAAAAGCTCAATTCGATAGAATCTTGAAAAGCTAATTCTCATAGACTGTGAGCTCATAGTTTGGGCTTCGTTGGCCCCCCCGGGTCTTCCTTTGCACCCAAGGATCGGGCACTTTTATGACGCTGATGAATGATCGTGAGTTGGAAAAGACTCACAGAAAGGCAAAGTGAAGATGATGAGGGCAAAAGAACACGGTTGCACGTTTCGATCAATCAGTGCAGGCGATAGTAAATTCGTAATGAATTAAAAAACCACACTTGGAATAATGAATCTCTTCAGGACCTTCGATCGCTCAACTACATTAACTCGCTTGATCATTCATATCCCTCGTATAATATAATACCCACACTTTACCTCGACCTCGGGTGTGTTCATCCTTTTGTCGATTCCCACAGACATGCGACAAAACGTTGAGGAACTCACTGTCCACGGCCTCTTCGAAGAAGAAGCTGGCCATCTGTGCCATCTGTGCCATCGGAGTATAGGAAGGAGAGCTGAAGGCAGATGATTCGTGACAATATCCTGGTCTCTCTCTCTCTCTACCCATGGCTCTCGAGTACTGTACCGAGGGTTAAAGGTAACAAGGCTCAAGGAAAGGAGGATGTCCAGCCAACTATCGGCAGGAGAGGAGAAGAGAGGCTTGCGCAGGTGGTGGTGGTGGTGCTACAGCAGGACCTGGTACTTTACAGCACTGCACTGCACAGACCACTGAGTACAACTGCTGCCATGTGAGGGAGCTGGTGGATCGAGAAGCCACACAACACTACACAACACAACACACAACAACAACAACAAAAACAACAGTCGCTGCCTTGTTTGTGTGTGAGGTTTCGATCGACCCATCTATCTATCCATCCATCCATCCACCCACACCAAAACTAGAATGGCTGCCAGCCCGCCAGCGATTTATTACTATGCCTCCCACCGCTACCTTGGCACTTCCCAAACTCTATCCTCTCTATGGGCTCGCAGCTACAACCCTCCTCCAAAGCTGCTGCTGCTGCCACTGCTACTCGTCGTCCTCAGCTTTGCCGGCCTCCCCATGCGAGGGCGGAAAGTCTCTCCATTTGACCAGTCACCTCTTCCCCCCCATCCCACACAGTGATCCGGATTCCCAACTACCAGCAGCGCCACAAAGCTCAGCCACAATCGTCCATGCCTCCACTGTGCCCCCCCTTCCCTTTACAGGCGACGATACTGTTCTTCGACCACCGCCACCTGCGCTGCGCTACGTACGTTCGTCCCCCTAGCTCTCGTCGTCCTCGGGCCTTCCTTCTTCGTCGCAGAGAGAGTGGCGTGTGCGACTTCATTCCTGCGGCCGGCCTGCGGGGGGGAAGAGCTACGGCTCGGATAGACACGAAGAGCAGGAGGAATACGCGGCCCCGCTAGACCTCGAGAACTATTGCATTGGGCTGGAGCGTCTGTAAGCCCCCAGGCGCGCCAGGCGCTCCAGTGTCTGCACCACGTGATCGCCTTTACGGAGGACCGCCCGCGCTCGCCTCCGGCCCGACCCGACCCGGCCCAGCCGTGAACAGAACGGGTGAGGTGACGTGGGGGGGACGATGGCGGCGGGGGCCGTGAACTCTGGAGGACTTCGTGCTCATGCAGATCCGCCCCTCGACTCTAGGACTCTCATCCGTCCCTTATACTACGGAGTCGCTATTCTCCCGCCTCCTGCTCCGTCGTACGACGTCTGCCTTCTGGCTCTGGCTCCCGCCTTTTGCCCGCGCTAGAGAACAAACACCGACCTGCGGATGTAAAGGCGGGAGATGTCGCTCCGAGCCGACGCCGAACGACACACGCAGTAAGACTCCATCCCTCCCCGTCGGATCGGGGAGAGTCTCCCGATCCGATTCGCAGGCCAGATCGACGGCGAGTTCGGCAGGCATTCGCAGCGTCGGAGTAGCCGTTCCTACACACGATAATCCCTCGGCGACGAGATTCAGGAGATTATCGCAACACCAGCGCGGTCCGGTTACCAGGACCGGGAAGAATCCGCTTGGGGAGCCAACCGCGCAGTTCATTAATTTCGTTCGTGAGACCGGACTCGCTCGCCCATTTACGAGTGGAAATACGCGTCGGGTCCATCGACGGCCCGTGTGAGACACGCAGGGAATCGACGGTGGGGGCTGAATATCCTCGTCGGATTTAATATGCCAAGAATCGTGCTCCAGGTAGCATTGCGGTCGAATCTGGCTCGGAATTAAGGACGGCGCGAGATTCATTCGTGCACCGTGGGAGAAAGTCCTTACCTACGGAGTTAATAGCAGCCGAACAGACACTGCCGGTATGATATGGCTCTAGCATGTCCGGGACGCAACAGACCTCCATCTGATATCCGTGACCAGCCGTCCGCCCGTCCGCCCGATCGCCCGCCCGCAATGCCGGCCGGCCGGTACATGCGGGACGCGAGGTTCACGTAGAAAATCCCGGCGGGACCTGCCGTCGTGACGTACCCCCATGGCCAGAACGGGGTCGAAGAAGTGGGCCACCTCGTTAAACAACCCGCCCTCTGCAGCACATTGCTCCATGGATCGATCGATCGATCGTACCTGAGCTCATCACCTCAGTGGAGAGGATCATACCTCTTGAGCGAAGGTCTCTCTCTACTTAGAGCGCTGGGCATCCTCTTCGGGTCTGCTGGACGCTTTGACGTGATGTCGTTTTCGAACAAGGTTCCGAGTTCATTTCCTGGATTAACTGGACATGCTCCTCCGTTGCTGATGATGCGACATCCCACGAATGGACCAAACAGTTTCACGCTCGAAATTGGTCGAAACGAAATCCATGACAGAATCCAAACAACAATTCTCCTTTCGGTTTTCTCTCTATTCATCTGATACGTTCTTACCTCGTCTATTACTTGAGAAGAAGTATGAACTGATCGATCTGTGACTGTGGATCGAGAAACTCGAGTACATCCTCGTCAACAAAAGAAACTTGTCAAAGTTTGAAAGCTAGACATCTTTTGAAATTGCCTTCACGATCATAAATACTTGGACAGCGCAGACTGTAGTTCTGTAGACCCCCAACCCCTAAACTGTACATGTACTGCCCTGTTATGTTGAGTCACGAGATGGAGAGATCTTGCTATAATTAGTGCAATATTGGAAAGGGTGGACCCAGGAAAGGATTTTCAACATCGAACTCAAGTCCGGCCACGAAACAGAAAATGTACATAAAATGACATTTAGAAACGGTTCCAGTATGAACCACCATGAGGAATCCTGGAAACTTTCATCTCGATATATCATGAAATATCTCCTAACTCATCTCATGAACTGAAGATCATCATCAACCTGTATCGAAAATTGTAATCTTTATATCCTTATATTATTACGCTAAATCACTAGCTAGTGCTATGTACAGCATGATAGTCACTTTCGATGATACTGCATCATATATAATTATATTGATCGGAGACCGTTCGATATCTAAAAATTTGTTTTCGTATGTTCTTTATAATCATAATATAATAAATCAGTACGAAACTACAGGGCTTACCAACGTTTTGCCATCCATTTAGTTCCCCTTCCAATTTTTCCATAGCATGCGCTAAAATATTTATTTTAGTTAGTCTATTGTGCAAATATGTTTATACTTAGACTTCAACTTGTGTTATATGGAGTTGCATATGCTAGAAAATCTATCACACTATCCGACGTGATTGACTTTATAATATAGAAAAATCCATAATTCGGATGATGTTATTCGTCCACTGTGTTAGTAGTTCAGATATCTAAATTCTAAATGAGAGAATTGAAATTGAAATAACATAATTGACACTTTTGCTCAATCTCGAGTGACTCCGAATCCCTTCATTTATTTTGTTGATGTCTATTTGGGCCCGTCTCTATCTAACGACATTCACATGAGACAGTCTCGGCCCGACTAGCAGTCGGAATATCTGTAGCATCCGTCCTGTCCTACGTCGGACACGACGGACAGTCCACAGAGAGGAGACGACGTCCAGATGGATGGATGGATGGATGGACGGATGGTAAGGTGGACGGACGCAAGGGAGGAGAGAAGGAAGGAAGGAAGGAGTGAGGGAGGGGCAATAAATGGGAGGGGGCGGGCGCCAGCGCGGAGACGGAGCCGATTGAATCGCGAAAAGAGAAAGAAAGCGGAGAGAGCATCGCGCGAAGGATATTATGCTCGCACTGCCTCCTGCTGCCATGGCCGTAAAGATGATGATCATCATTTGTCTTGCCAAGGCAGGCAGGCGGTGGGGCCCGCCTCGGGTCGATCCGTGCCGGTCACCCGGTCCCACCACGCAGCAACAATAGGGCTCAGGTCGTCTTCTTCATCCGGAACTGTGGACAGAATCTGAGCGACTCCCGACTTATCCGGTTGACTGCGTGCTCGCTCGCACTCTCACTCTTGAGCCCGGTGCATGAGCTCAGCAGCTCGGATCACACTCTCTCGATGGGCTGCTGCTCTCGGGATCCAGACACAGTGCTCGCACATTCTGTCTCTGCTCCAGCGCCTCCATTTCAATCCCCACTCTTCTTCTCTGATTCCATCAAGTCAACTCTCCTCGCTCGCTCTCTCTCTCTCTCTGCCTCTGCGGCGCGACTGTAGTTTCCTCACTTCTCAACCACCCCTGCCGTCAAAGCTTCTCGCAGCCCACACCGACGGACGGAGCTGCGTGATCTGTGATGCCTGCATACTCAAGGAAGGACTGAACGACTGCCTGAGAGTCTCTGTGTACCTTTCTTTCTTTGCGTGACGAATTGTGCAAAAATTGGAACCCAATTCCAACGTTGCCTCGAGAGCTTAAAAAATTCTTCCGATCTTTGAGTGGCGGGTCAGTATAGGCCGGAGGTAAGCAGTTTATCTGCTCTTTCAGCTGATGATAGTGTCTCTATCCCACTGCTCTCTCTCTCTCTCTCTCTCTCTCTTTCCAACTGGAATACGCTCGGACTGATTGGGTTGGCTAAAGCTTGCTAATGGGGAGTATGGACCTCGAGGACGCAGCAATGAGTCGTTGTACCGTAGGTGCGTCACTCAGCTTCTCAGTGTCACACTGACCTTCGAGGTGAAAGAGGGAAAGAGGAGAGAAGAGGAGGAGAGAAGGGGAGAGAACTGAGAAAGGCACAGCTGCGCGCACATGTGATGGCAGCTGCCGCTGCTGCCATCTGTGAACAGTTTGGTAGGTTGGGCATTGAAATGAGCCAAAGCCAAAGCCAAAGGAAGGTGGGGTTCGGACTAGGGAGGGAGAGAACGACGGATGGATGATTGAATGAATGGATGATCAGCAGTTTACGTAGTAGACGACGAGGAAAGGATGATGAAAAGGGAAAGAAGACCACTTACCTTTTCCGACGAAGCACTCTTCATGAATAAATGCCTAGGGCAAAACTTGACACAGAGGTAAGTGTTGGGAGGGATACGAAAGCTGCAGAGGACACGACTGACATGGTAGGGCGGGGAAAGGCAGGGCAGGGCAGGGCGTTGCAGGGCAGGCCTGGGTTGGGTTGGGTTGGGTTAGTCGATCTGAGCTGAGCTGGGTTGGGTCGAGGAGAGTCGAGTCGAGACGGAAAATCTGAAATTCCAGCGAGCTACGGCTGGCAGCAAGCAAGCAAGGCGGCTTGTGATGACGATACATGGCCCCATGTAGACAAACATGTCGAAACCGACACCTTTGAGGCTGTAATGGCACACTGCCGATACCACCGTAGCTACCAATCCAAGGCTTTCATGCTTTCCATACATAATTTTGCATGGCTCTCTTAAAAGCATTCGGTAAGTGTATTCTCAGAAAGCACACGTGAGAGAATTTACTACAGCAGCTCATAGCCTCAGTGATAGCTTCACTCCTGGAGCAGAGGATACATTTGCCTTGGCCTCTTGTGGAAGACGAATCTGGCTCACTCCTATATGACCTCTCCCTTGCGGATCTCGCATGTAGAAACCTCCCCCAGTCTCCCGTCATCCAAAGTATTCGTCCTTGTCGGCCACAGAGTTTCTATTCCCTCCATGCCTTTGGCCAAAAGTGCATGGCACACAAAACGGCCAATGAAAAATCACGGAGTCACGGACCGGTGTGTACGTGGGTGGCAGCTGTTTCGCACAAACAGCACATTAACTTCATTAGGAAAACAGCACATATCGTCATCCACTGGAGAAAATAATCCTTGGAGCGGGTCTCTCAGATTGGTCTCAATTCATAGCATGGAAACCTCCGGCTTACTAACTTTCACATTGGCGAATTTGTGGCTGTCCCAGCACAAACATTATATTCCGGCTACATCTGAACCGAATGATATTTATAGTCTACATTGTTGTAACCCCTTTGTGTAACTCTTCTACTGTCCACCACGTACATCCACATGGGCTACTCGAGTTCTACTACAGAATGTAGGTCAGGTTTTCTTAGGCTTAGGAGTCAAATGAGGCTCAGCGGGTCAAGGCTCATGACTCGTAGCTGACTTGTCCATCTTTCTCGATATACTTGTTTATGGTTTATCTCTACTTTCACCGGCTTTAGATGCTTGCTGGTTTCACACTCTGCACCCAGCTCATGTCCCCCAGGCTTCGTCTGAACTGGGCAGAAGGAAGTCCCGTTTCTTTCTTTAGCTTTCATCGCCTTTGTTTTCATCTAGCTGGACTGAACTACTCGAGTCAGCTTGACTTTGGGTTCGACCTTAACTTGGACAATGTACAGTAGAACCTCGTGAGCCTTTCCACACGCGCAGGACAGTGAGAGGCTCGCTCTGGAATTTGTATTCCAGATATGTATACTCTAGGTAAGAAATTTACAATTTTGAGGTTTAGAAGGCTCATTCTACGTCTACCCTCCGCCAGGCTCTCCATGTGTCCCGATCTACCTCTGATCGGGAAGGTGGTAACTCTCGTTATATCTGTGAGGGGTACTTACCGTAGCTCCCAGTGTGATGCACAGTACAGAGTTACTGGATTCTCCAGCATACTGTAAGATTTGTGACGGTGGTTGTCCATTGATTGGTAGATACTCCACTTCATATAATCATTTGCCGGTACTCGGCATTCCTGCTCTTGTTCCACTGAGTGATGCAGGTACAACACACCGAATCAAAACCTGCTGGTGAGAACGCCAGATCAAGATAGATCTCCTCTTTGCTCGACTACCGCATTTTATGGAGCAAAGAGAAGACGGTGGAAATTTTCTCGCTGTGAAGCCGAGCCTCAAGACATCGGTAGAAACATGAGAAAAAGATGAGGAGACGATATGTGTGATCTCATGGTGAGCGCACTTCTTTGTCACTTCTGTCCTCAGTCTGCCACAGTAATAGATGGTGATAGTTACTTCGTCGGTTCTGCAAGCTACTTACTTGACTGTTTCCGCTAGTTTCTAGAGTTATAGTTGATCTCAAATCCTTTGCCATTTAGTGGTATAAATGACAGCAGTAACAAAATCCAGCAAGCATCAAAAGAAAGGGCCCCTCTAAGGGACCACCTTACAATTATTTTCCATGCGACCCACTTGGCGTTGTTATCCTTTCATGACTAGCTGGTTCCCACTAACAGGTGGCCATGGAAACTTTATCCAGGTGGAAATCTTGTGAGATGCTTTCTTTGGCATTATTCTACACTTCAAAGTCCCCGTGTACATTGCACTTGCCTGGACCTCTGTTGATGTTACTCTGGCTTCTGACTCAAAAAGCACCAAAAGTGAGTTCAATATTTGGAAAAGGGTAAACTCAGAACAATGGATTTCCCTCCGAGACATATTCAAATGGATTCAAATCTCCAATAAATGCTACAAAGTCTAGCATAGTCAATCGGGGGTAGCTTCAGAAAAACATTTAAGTTGCAATCTTTTGTGCACGAACGAACTTCTCATGGGCGTAGACGAAGAATGTTCACATCTGCTCTTTTCTTTGATCGCAAGTGTGGAGTTGCTCCAACTCTGGACAAGGCCCCGTGTCCAGTTGCAGCTTGTAAGGTGATCCCATCGAAGAGAGCGTGAACTCTTACGACTCTACAATTCTCGCCTGAACACATATCCAACACCGTAAATACTCTTGATATTTGCATTTTCTATACGATCAAAAGTCACGTCACAAGAGGAGGATCGGATAAGTGAACTTACAACAAGTGATGGTGACAACAAGCTTGCAGTCGTCTGGGAAGGATAGAACAGACTTGTCCAGCCTCTTGTCCAAAGAGATAATATTCCCCACATTTATGGCCACAGTAAAAGGGCATTAATTGCCTAATGCTAGCGCCTGGGTTTCTTCAGACTTTGGTCAGACCTTACCCTTTTTGGTCTCTACTGCTGTCCCAGTAGAAAATACAAAGAGCACCGCTTGATCTAGACAAAGACCTGCCAAGCCTGTCAACATCCAGCTCTTCACAGATTCTGTCAAACTCTTTCATGCATCGCAGGTGGTTCCCTTCGTACCGAGATCATTACTCAATGACCGTGGGGAGGTACTCATCATCCTGAACCATAGTAACATTTCGACATGCCGACCTGACCACGTCTCTTGTAGCAGCTTTAGTCTATGGGAGAAATATTACTCTTTGTCCTCTGTCCACACAATCTGTGAAGTCGTTCTTCTCGAAGTCACTTTCACGTACTCCCACTGTAGCTTGGGGCCTTCGATGGTTCCTTCACTCCGTTGAATGGTGTGCTTTCTGATCATAATCTCTGATGGAGATATGGCCAGGATGAAAGGAGAAGAAACAAGAAGAAGGAAGGGTGTTGTAGATCCTCAAACCTGGGAAAACATGTTAAGGAATATCAAAGGCTGATCATGGAATCCAAAGCCCGTTGTGATGTGTTTATGTGATGTTTTGTAAACTATCCTATACAGGAACATAGAAGGTATGGTCAGGAACAATATTCAGAGGTGTCAAAACGTTTCATTCTGGCCCTTCTGCAAACTTTGCTTCTTTGATACACCTGGATATATGTGTAAGATATTTCTGCTTCTGCACATAGGTCATGTCCACAAAAGCAAGACACACAGCATCTCTCGTGTAGGAGGTTATCGGAGAATATGCAGAAAAAGTGGTCTCCCTTTCCAGCTTCAGTCAAAAGAAGCATCTTCTACCATCGATTAAATGTTTGTGGTCCAAGTTTCAGCAGCCTGGATGTTGAAATAAGCAATTAGACTTGAGTAGTAGCATGGATTTTAATGAAATTTTTTCCAGTATCTGACCAGCTCTAGGTTATGATTGAGAAATGCCATCTACTGGAAGACTGAAGATGACGTATCCCAGAAATTGAGTGCCTGAGAATGTGAAAGAATCTAAGCAAAGGTAACATGGGGGGGTTTTATGAACTGAACATGTATGACCCGGATCGGAGTTTTAGGAACTCTGCACCAGAACTATCCTCACTTTCTACTCCTACGCGATTCATTGTGTTCTGGGTCTGGTCATCCAACGAATGATTAGGACCAAGAATTATGTCTTTATGATCCTCTGTTGGCCGACCCATACTATACCCAACCAGATTTGGAAATGTTAGAAAATGTTAGAGGGAATGCACAAGGTTGTCGAATTTATTTGGAGAACAGAACCGTGGCCCTCTATAGAGAAAAAAACTAATCAGGACACAACATGGACAGTTCCAAAGTGCACTTTTCTTGTACAAGGAGTGATGATGGCTCAAAGTCCTCGCCCAGTACGCAGTCAACCATGTTCCACGACATGCAAATCTCGGCCCATATGCATGACCCCATCAAAACAACGTGTAAACCAAAGTCAGGCCATTTCATTCTCACCTATCGATTATGGATAGACATCACATCATGATGACTGATTAAGCCGTATACTTTTTCAAGGTAAATGTGCGACTTTATTGTATCATCTACAATTCTGAGAGTACGAGGAAAAGCTCTCCGATATGTTAGAAAAGTTGGATATGTTTCATCAAGAGTCACGCGCTATTCACCCGCTCTTATAAATGTTAGGCCAGTTTTACCGTGTATACCTTGAACTTTCCCAAGAGAGGGCAATCGTTACTCTTGGCCATAATGGAGATTTTTTCATCCCTTCGCTTTTTAAATTATGGTAAAGCGAATTCTGGATGTCACTCGAATGTCTAAGATCATGAACACAGAAGTGAAGACAGACGAATGAAAGTTGAGGCGCTGAACATGGGATCACCAAAGTAAGCAGCATAGGCGTAGAACAACACGGCAGAATATCAACCGATGTATAACTTGCCTGCACCAGACAGGTATGTATGGCAGGAAGATAATCTGGATTCCTCGCTATGAAATCGAGGCGTCAAGGAGACATGTTTCGAAGTACTTAGATGGAAATGTATTGAGAACAGGAGGAATAATAAATCCCTATTTAATGCCTCTCCCATTTTGGGGAGCTTGCCGACAATTATGGGCGGACATGGTCCTGAATCCACGGAGGCAATGTAACAGATGTGTAATTTTTATTTCGATGAACTATCAAGAAGCCATATTCTGTAGTACTGTATAGTTCGCGGCCAAGATTCAGCACTCGGCCTGGTGTCTAACAAACACTTTGATAAGTTTCGGGTCATATGCATACTAACAATAGAATATGCATCATGTAATCGTGCCGTTGAAAGGTGTATTCATATGAAGACTTCAGAGCCATGAATGAAATGGTCAAGCGGAATGTCTTCCTTTCTGAGCAAAAAGATGAATGGAGACATAATGGCCGGTACGAAAACCTAAATAAAAAACTTCGTCACAGTCTTAGCTCACCTCTCATTGTTCACAGCGAAGCCTAACAATCTCGAAGAAGCGGACAATGTCTAACCACTCTAACAGTGACTAATTTTGAATGCAGTTGAAGACTGCAGGCACCGGTACGCATAAGAGCAGGTACGCATATTCAGAAACTTTCCTCCATATCGTATCATCCATCAAACAGAAAATAGAAGAAAGAAGATGCATAGGCGCAAAGATTGATCTACACTTCTTGCACGATATCGGACTTTCACGTCAATTTAGTCTCAAACAATCGAGTGTAACAATCCTCTAAGAGAAAAACGCTCGCAACTAGTTGCGATTCCAGAATATCAGGGCAGGATTCTAAACAAAAATGGCGAGGGACACATCGTATTAGTTCAAAGAGAAAATCCAGTGCAGCCGCATGATTCCTCGAAAGAACTGTCTCCAGATAGACGAATAATCTGGTCAGAAGAATTGCAACCCGCCGTGTAGAAGTCATCATAGCCTGGCTCGCCATGGCAATCAAGACTGCGCAGCACGAAATTCACATCTCACTCCTCCTTCCTTCGCGACACGAAGGGCAGCTCTGTTGGAAGTTTATTTTAATTCCCGTGGCACACTTATGGCCATGATTTGTTACCGTTAATCTGCAATTTGCAGCGACAACGGTTACGCCAAGACCCGCCTGGCAGCTAAACCTGTCCACAGTAGTTAAGTTAGGTCAATGGATCACGGGCCGCCGTACCAATACATCCAGCTCTGTCAGCACGGAGGGAAAGTTTATCATGTTTTCCACGTGGCAGCCGGGTCCGAGCTTTGGGCGACCGAGGATGACGAGCGTCTGTGTTTCCGAAAGAGGCATGTTGTCATCGGAACAGAAAGTTATGATACGGTTTGATGGTCCCGATATAGATTTCGAGTATGAAGACCTTGCATTGCTGGAAGTTCTTCCGTGAACCCGATGGGAACGCCGTTGTCCGGACCCGCATATTCTATCCGGACTGGCTTGCATCTTTCCATCCCTCCCTCCGTAGATTCGACTAACGCCGTCATGTTGTCTAGTGGAATGCATATTTTCCCATCCATCTGTTTGTAGATATAACAAACTGACATTATGACTCTGTTGTGCTCTGCTTATTTTCATTCAACTCTTTTGGTTCTCCGCTGAGGTTTTATCCACGTTCGTGCAGAGAGAGAGAGAGAGAAGTGAAAGTTTCATGTTATGCTTGAGGATTATGTGCTTTCATAATATGCACTAATCGAAATGTAACAATCATAACAAAATTTGTATTTTTTTAATGCCTAAAAAATATGTGCTACTCTATTCAATAAGCTAACTCAAGTTTTGTGCTTTTCTTATTATGAGTTAGAATGTGCCTCTCCGTTGGGGTTTTATCCGGGCTCGTGCAGTGAGTGATTGAGTGAGAGAGAGAGAGGTGAAAGCTTCATGTTATACTTAAAAGCACTTCTCGTAATTTGTATGCATTATTCGCAATGTATCAATCATCTTCATTTCTTTATACTCATGCCTTCAAAATATCTACTAAAAAAATATCGACTTAATCATGAGTGACTTAGAAGACATTCAATCATAAGTAACGTTTCTATTACCTCTGAGTTTATAATTTGGCATTAATCTTCTTCCTTTTGGCAACACCTGCGAAGTTTCAACAAGTGAAATCCAGGAAAGGCGGTGTTGAGTAGCTTCGAGATCACGAGGGATACATTTGAGATTCGATCGATACAGACACACAATTCTATCTCACTCGGCTTAAGGGTGTAGGGAGTTAAAAATGCAAATGCAAGCTTGACCTAGGTCGATGACCATGATTCACTATGAGACAAATATTCTCTT